AGAAGGATAAAAGCTTTTTGTTGTGTGTTTCTAAAAAAACGTTCTTTAATGACAGTAAACTCCAATATTTATATTTAAATATTTAAAAGGTTTCGAATATTTTCTTGTAATTATAAATTAAATCCTGAAAACAGACGCATGAAACATTTACCACCATTAGCGTTGCTACAGTAACCTGGTACTCGAAAACAGTCTACAGAAATGGGTCAAGAAAAATCTAAGTAGACTCGTACACTTTCCATTAAAATATCCTCTTACGCAGATAATTTGTGCCTACGTACTGTATAAACAAGATGCAAGTTCACCAGCTTTGGTCTTGTGCTCTAGAATGTTATACAATATAAACCTACTGTACATTCTCGTGGGTCTTACCAGTAGATGAGAGACAGTCCATCAAAACGCTCAAGCTCCCTGCCTGGAGATTTCAAATAGGACATTGCACCCGGAGAAAATACGAGAGGTTTCAATATACTTAGCAGTCGCCGCCTCCGTTTCAAAGTTATTTGTTTTTTTAAAATAACAAACCGCTGAAAAACTGCATTACTTCATTTTCTTCTGGCGTCTTAGGTACATTCCATGTTCAGCTGAGTAAGTAACTGTCAGCACTCATTCAACATCAAGTTAATGATGTGGAGATTTCAGGCCGGGAATGAGACTCAGCTACCCCTGTTTCTAATCTGTCAGACACGTGATTCTGCGCTGTCCTGACCGTCTGTTCAATAAAAGAAGAGCCTTGCTCCAGCAGCGCCCGCATTGCTTTTACCTCCTACAATAGGTGTCAGCTTTGATTTTTCAAAGGTTGAAATGGGGTGAGTGCTTTGCTGCCTGGACTGCTGAAGAAGCGGATGTCACAAGATACATAATTTCCATTCATAAACCACTCAGAAGTTCACGCCACTCTGTAGACAGACTCAAGTGAAATGGCTGGTATATTCAGTTAGGTAACTGTAACCATTTGTATTATAAATCACCCTGCTACCAAGGTTTAATTTCTTTCTCTTGCAAAACAATATAAAAGAAACAATTTCTTGTTTTGCAGTTTATTTGTTTGAGGACATTATACTGTAGGTTGTACATAACTCCCTGTTGTTTGGGATGAAGTGTTATGCAGTGCCTTACAAAAGTATTCAGACCCTACTTTCCACTCTTTCGCTGTACACTTTTTAAATTTAAATATTGTTTTACCCACCTAAATGCTCAAAATGAAAAAAATAAATAAAGGTAAGTTACAGTAAGTCAGCAAAAACTAAAGAGAAAAATCTAAAATATGTCGATTGCAAACTGTATGTACTGTATTCAGACCTGTGGACAGTCACAAGTCTTTTGGGATAAGTAGCAAATTCGCACATACAGTATTTGCCCATTCTTATTGGTAGATTTGCTCGAATGCTCTCAGGTTTCTTGGAGGCCAGTCATTGACTGCGCTTTTCAAGTCTCCCACTCTCTCGTGATGACTTTAGGATCCATAGATCAATAGGATTCAAATCAGGACTCTGTCTCAGCTGCTCAATGACATTTTCTTCCTTATTTCCTATGCCACTCCAGTGTAGCTTTGACCTCGCTCTGTGGATCATTGTCCTCTTGAAAGGTGTGCTCTCGCCCCAGCTTGATAGGTCTGAAGCAGGGAGACCAGAATGTTCCCATCAGTCTTGACCGCCTTCTCGGTCTCTGCAGAACTATAACACGATTGACAGCAGGGATGGTGTTGGTTGAGTGACATACTGTACTATGTTGGTTAAAACCAGATGTAAAAACATTGAAAGTTCCAATGTTGTCCAATGTTCTTGTTCCAATGTTGTCCTGTCTGTCTGGGGGTGACAGAACAACACTGGAACATTGGAAGGAGTTACTTGAGTTATTCATATTCTTATAATGGCCAATGTTTTGGTCAGTAGTGGGTGTGTTGTTTTTTCTTCTGTGCCTGCTTCCCTCTCCTTGTAGAGGAACCTCTGGCCTTGTAGCACAGACAACACAGCTGACCAGAACCATCACAGATTGAGTGACACTGTTTTTCTAGATACCTGTCCATCACCACACAGTGAGGAGACCTATTTATGCCTGGGGCTGCTGAGCAGGCTGGAACTGGACCTGGAGCAGAAGGAAATAGAGGAAAGGCAAAGGAGAAGGAAGGAGGGACAGTGTTGCTGTTACTATTTGTTATGGCCCATTTCGTAATGTACCCTCTACATTGTCTACATTGTCTAGGCAGTGTGTGGGTGCCTTTCACTTAATGATCCACTTCACCATGCACAGGGAGATAGTCGGGGTTTAGAGTCGACTGTTTGTCTCTTTAAGGTAATTTTGTGTACCTATATTAATGTAGGTTTGCTACAGCAGAAGGTTTGAATACTTATAAAATCAAGACTTTTCCATTTTTCTTTTAAATGACTTATTTGGTTGTAGAGCTTGATCTCTGTGTGTGAAAGGTTAAGGTCTATGCATGCTGGAAAGAAAAAACCCACACCTGATGTGTGGAATGTTTGCAGAAAGGAAATGTGACAGTTCCAGCACCTGGAAAGTATAAAGTACATTTTGTGTTAGTGTTACAAATATTTTAGAGCCATACAGTATATATCTGCTTTTAATTTTGAGATTAAATATATGCCCAATTGTCCTCCTCCTAAACACAAATTTTATCGGAAGGTTGTTCTGATGTATAAAGCCCTCAGAAGTGCTCGTGTTCAGAGCACATTTTTGTTGTGCTCTCCAGAGAAGCCCATTCATTAAATAATCTCATTTCAAAACTCCACTGAACTGATCTGTGACGTCTTGCAACCCTACATACTTCTTTATTTGTATCTTGAATGCGTTGCAAATATTAGTTTCTATTTCAAACTGCAAGACTGCAGGCTTAAAAGCAACACAATGTGAGAACTGAAAGTTTTTGCAAAACTCTTAATTTGTTTTTGGAGATGTGCTGGACAACGTACAGTATGAAGACAAAGGAAACTCTGGACCTCAGGTTCCAACCACTTAGTTGAAGAATCACATTTTAGATTGGAAATCTAAATAATCTAAATCTTAATTTCTCTGTCATGTGCAAAGAACATTTCTATTCTTAATGTTGCTCCAATGGCAGCCCATCTGATGCAGTACAGCTAAGCTCCTGTGCCTGGTGCTCAGCATAATAACTTGCTTAAACATCAGGAAAGCTTGTGGCTTGACCCTTCTAATCTTCAGTCTAGTCCAAATAATTTGAGTACTTCCTGGAAATGAGCATTTCACTGTGTTCGTATAAAAGAAACAAGAAGTATTGTATGTATTGTAGGCAGCACAGTCACACCCTGGGTGACAATAGAGGGTTAATTTGCATTTCCAACATATGATTCATTTAGTGCAGTAACGTAAATAGGACAAAAGATCTTTTTCTGATATTCACTGCTTTGGAACAGTAATTGGTGTACATATTCCAGTTTAGTTTTTAAAAAGAAACTTTCGAAATGTTCTGATTCTTATTGTTGAAAAGTAATTGACAATGGATTGTTCAGCAGCTCACACAGGACAAGTGAGGAGCGCAGGTCGTGTGGTCCAGGGGGGCCTGTCTGAGCTCACTCTGGCAGAGGACTGCCGGGGGTGGGCAGGCTCGAGACAGCCAGGTTATCCTTGTCTCGCTTGGCAACAGGAGTGCTTTTACTAAGCGGGTGCCTTGGAGCTTAAAGTATTTTCATTTAGAGCTGCCTCCCTCCTCAATCAAAACTACCTGTCCTGCTGGAAGTTTTGGATCTGCAGAAAGAAACGCAGCAGGTGGATCTGTAAAGTGTGTTTCAGATGAGATCAGAAATAGCTGCCACTTCCAGTTTAAACATCCTTTCAATCCAACCAAACTAACATGGTTTTTATTTCTCAAATAGTGATACAGTATATAGCAGAAAGACAGCAGATGCACTCATCTTTCTTCCAGATGTGTTACTTATTGAAGTGTAAACTGGGTAATGAATTAAGAACACTCTGAAATATTTTGTTACTTTTATTGCTTTCCGACATAAAACAATAGACTGTTAATCTTTTAAATCCAAAAGATCCATCTCCGTCTTGACATATTTAAATAGTTTATTTTATCTTGGTTTTAAAATTCAAGAGAAAATTGCAAATTCACTTGTTTTATTTGTGTTTTCTTTTGTTATACTGACCTCTGGTGGAACTTTGTGGGGCTCCAAGTTCTTCATTTTACTATTGCAAATAAACTTCACATCTTCTGGCATTCCAAATATCACAGTAGAATATAGGATTCATCATGCGTTTGGAATCCGGAAGATGTACTTACAAATCTCACGATCAAGATCATATATATCTTATCATATAGATCTTATAGTTACCAGATCATAAGACACGATGCTTAAGAGTACGTCCAAATTTTTCAGATTTTTTAACTGACCTAGAAAATAAAACTAATTGTAAGTTGCTCAGCAGTTCCTAAAGTAACCTATTTGATGAGTGATCTCTTCATGAGAGTAATCTGAACCGTATATAAAATACCCTCTTGACTGACAGAGGAATTGGTGGAGTGCAGTGAGAGTGGAACTGCAGGAACAAACACCCTGCATTGTTGAAGCAGGCCATGGAAATGAAGATATGCTGATGGATTATCCTACACTGGGGAGTGTTCAAAAGCACATCTCTCCCAAGTAGAACTGGCTCTGTCTGGTTGAGTGGGAAGCACACATTCCAGTAACTCCACCCACAGTGTGAGCGCTGTACCCAGCTGGCCAGCAGAGCAGTCGAAGACGCTTTTGGTAAAATTGTTCATGATAAGCACCAAAACAAGAAACCCAGTGTTTTAGGTGAAAATCACAGTTGCATGCTCAAATATGTTCATGTTTAATTTCTGATGTCTAATTTAAATGTAAAAATTGTATTCCTTTGCTGGTTATTATCTGGGCATCACTTTCTAATCAATTACCAATTTTATGCTAAAAACATTTATGCTAAAATTATTTCTCCATGCTGTTCTTTTAATTTTAGCTTCAGTGGATTTTCTAATATCGATGGTCACCAACTACACAAATATACAAGCTTATGAACTCTTAGCTTCATTAAACTTTCTACATGCTAAATGCAGGTATTAGTGTTTTGGCCTGAGGTGTTCTACTGTAGCTTGATGGCGTGGGCTGGGTAACACCCTAGTGCATTAACTATCCAAGCACTGAAGGATATGTCAGGAAGGAAATATTTTTACAGTGCCCTCTTCTGGCAAAAAGATATGATTCACCTACGTAATGTCACCTACCCTCCCCCTCCTGAGACAGAAATAGTGGCACTGGATCATGTTAGAAAATCGATTATTAATCCTTTCATATCTGCTTGCTGGTAAAAGGATACAGCGGGCAGTATCAAAGCCTCCAGCCTCTGGTTTCTTTATCAACAGTCATGGAGCCCTGTCACCTGTGATGATGGTGCCCTCCACAAGACCTTTGCTCTCTTCTCTTAGGGCAGGAGCTCGGAGTTCCAAATCTAATCCAGCCCTTCCCTTCCCTCAGTGACCCTTCAATGATCTAATAATCCGCCGAAGATGACAGAGCTCTGAAAAGCAAAGTTTAGAAGATACAAACTTAAGTAGAATGTAGTACTGTAAGAGAAGCATTTTTATAGGGCATGCTTTTAGAAATCAGTTTGTTTTATAAAAGCACTAAAGCTAGAGTTGACCATTTCCAGTTTGTGTTCTCCTTATTAT